GAGACAATGGGTAAGAGAGGGGCGGGGTGGGGTAGGGGAGGGAGGAGGGGGAGAATGGAGGGGGGAGATTAAGAGGGGGGAGGGGAGGTTGGAGGTGGGCGGGGAAGGGCGAGGTGGACACGACTTTGGTATGCGTAGTTGTGTTCCTGCCACGCGTCCGCCTGTTTGTCTAGCATATAAAGAACCGAAAGTGAGATATTTTGTTAAGTCCACCCTCAGATTAAAAAAAAGAAAAAGAAAATGGAAACCTAATTTTCTGCAAGGGTTCTCGATTTCGCTAATTGCATATATGAATAATAACATTTCTTGCACGAGGGTCCATGAATCTCTCTTTTTTTCTTTCTTTCTTTCTTTCATTTCCGAATCATGATAATACCCAGTCAAGAAATATTTAGCGAGGAGGACGTTTCCTTAAGGATATTCTTTTCAAAATTGGATCATTAGGATCTTTAAAAATCTTCCCAGAACTCTTAATGGTCGGTTGGTTATTATGTCGAACTATGATTCAAAAGAAGTTCATCATGATAAAAAATGTAATTATAGCCTCTATTGTGATAATGATAATGTTACTGAATAAGACAATAATAATATTAGTGATGATGATGATATCAACAGCATAAATGATGATAATCTTTATGATAATAATGATAGTAATAATATTTACAAAAAAATCTAATCATTATGATAATGACGAAAAAGATAATAATAATAAGAATAATAAAGGCGCAAGGAATCCTTAACAATTAATGCAGATTGAAAGAGTACACAGACACGCACGGACTGACATAACCTCCCATACCCAATTGCAACTGAGAAATCATTTGCTACGTTGATGCATACACGACTGCTTGTTAAGGAAGGGGGGGGGGGAGGCTCGACGATAGGAACGGTCAGGAAATATGTTGGAAGAGAAGGACTATTTTTCTTTATTTTTTTCTTTGTTGGTTTATGTGTCTGGGAGTTTGTTTGATTGTTTTGTTTGTCTGTTTGTGTATCTGTTTGTCTCGCTCCCTCTCTCTCTCTTTTTCTCTTTCTCTTTCTTTCTCTTTCTCTCTCTCTCTCTCTCTCTCTCTCTCTCTCGCTCTCTCTCTCTCTCCTCTCTCTCTCTCTCTCTCTTTCTTCTCTCTTTTTCTCTTCTCTTTCTCTCTTTCCTTTTCTCTCTCTCTCTCTCTCCTCTCTTCTCTCTCTCTCTCTCTCTCTCTCTCTCTCTCTCTCTCTCTCTCTCTCTCTCTCTCTTTCTTTTCTCTATCTCTCTCTCTTCTTTTTCTCTCCTCTCTCTCTCTCTCTCTCTCTTTCTCTCTCTCTCTCTCTCTATCTATCAATCTGTCTCTTTCCGATCCTCCTTTACAATTTCCTTTTTCCCTCTCCTACTTCTCCCCTCTCTATCTCACTCTTCTTCTCTCCCCCCCTCCTTTCAACTCCCCCCTCTCCCCCCACCGTGTCCCCCTCTCCCACCGTGCCGCCCCCCCTTCCCCCATAGAAGCAACAATGGGCGCAGCAGTGTGAGAGGTGGCATCATTAAGGAATAGAGGGAGAGGAGGGACGGGAAGGAAGCAGGGAAAGAGGAAGGGAGGGAGAAGAAGAGTGGGAAGAGAAGGTAGAGATAGAGATAGAGAAAAGAAAGGGGAATAGCATGGGTCTGATGACAGGCTGGATGGATGGAATGAAAGAAGGAAGGAAGGAAGAAAGAAAGAAAGATTGGATAGAGGGAGGGAAGAAAGAAAAATAGAAGAGAGAAGGAACGAAAGGAAGAAAGAGAGAGAGAGAAGGAGAGCGAAGGAGGGAGGAAGTGGGACGTGGTGACAGTTAAATTATTCTATTCCCGGCTGCACATTTTTTTCTCTCACAATACCTGTTGTCAATGAAAGGTGGAGGATATAATGAGACGGAGAGATGGAGGAAGGGCCGGATGAATGGACAGAGAGAGAGAGAGAGAGAGAGAGAGAGAGAGAGAGAGAGAGAGAGAGAGAGAGAGAGAGAGAGAGAGAGAGAGAGAGAGAGAGAGAGAGAGAGAGAGGTGGGGGGGGGAGAAGAGGAAGAGGGAGGGAGAGAGAGAGAGAGAGAGAGAGAGAGAGAGAGAGAGAGAGAGAGAGAGAGAGAGAGAGAGAGAGAGAGAGAGGAGAGAGAGAGAGAGAGAGAGAGAGAGAGAGAGAGAGAGAGAGAGAGAGAGAGAGAAGAGAAACAGAGAGACAGAGAGAGACAGACAGACAACCAAACATACAGATACATATGGAACAGCGTAAGACATAGAGACATACGTAGGAAAAAAAGAGAAAGCATGAACAGAAAAGAAAAGAAAATAAAGACGGAAAGAAAGAAAGACAAGAGAGAAGAGAGAAAATAAGACCCCTAAAGGAAAACGGGCAACCGGAAGCGGCAGACTCGGAGGCGCCTTCATTTCCCGTTTTCTTCTCGGAGTCGTACGTTTTCTTCCTGTCTTTAGTTACCCTTGTGTGCAGATATCATGATACATATTAAACGAGACAATACGCACCAAATGCGCGAGTTGGTTGTGTGGATATGTGTGTGTGTGTGTGTGTGTGTGTGTGTGTGTGTGTGTGTGTGTGTGTGTGTGTGTGTGTGTGTGTGTGTGTGTGTGTGTATGTATGTATGTATGTGTGTGTGTGTGTGTGTGTGTGTGTGTGTGTGTGTGTGTGTGTGTGTGTGTGTGTTTATATATATATACATATATATATGTATGTACACATACATACACATGTGCATGTTTATCTCTATGGATATATATATATATATATATATATATATATATATATATATATATATATATATATATATATATATATCCGCCCCATGTAAATAACATTCATGTTTTGCATCATCCCTGTCTAAACTCCGGCCTCGCACTCAGATGATTCAATAAACCACCACAGCCTTTATCCCATTCACGCCTTCATCATTTCCCGAATATAGAAACGCTTCTAAATTCTTCCCATCTGCTTTTGTGGTTCTAAAAATAACCCCTTTTTGAATTGGCTTCACCCGTGTCTGAGCACAAAGCCTCTGGCGACCTGTCTCATCTTCTGCACTAGCTTTGCAGGCACCTTTCTCATTTGCATCTACAATCCAGCCTTCTTTTCTCTTTTAAAGCTTTTCAGAAGTTTTTTTTTTTCTTCTCAGTTTTCAACCTTAGTTCTTGTTACATTTCACACTAAGAGAGGTTCGTGGAATCAAGAGTTTAGAGTCTCCGATACGAAAGTTCTCACTTGCATCGTTCGAGAGCTCACGGATTCTTCTAACATTTTATAATCATCTGCATAAACACCCTGCCGCCTAGAGACCCTTGGCCATTTTCAGTTTCATCCTGGACTTCGGTAAACTTACTCATATATAAACTCGCCAGTATACGGTGTCTATTTAAATGGTAGCTATTTTCAGAGATGATTCTATATTAGTTCTACTTGTAGTCAAATCTAACTGGGACTTATTTATTTATAACGTCTCATTTTGTAATTCTTTTTTGAAACGCTATCAATTTTGGCCTTTTACACTCTTGCACTGATCAACACTAAAATACTGGTCTTCATATATCCACTCTGAAATCTTTGCCTTCATATTTGGGCACTGTGAGTCCTTTGCTACCCTCATCTCTCCTGCCACAGGTTTCACAAATCTCTCTTGTATGACCAACTTTACTCACATCTCTGCTATATCCATCCTTCACTACTGTTGGCACATGTATGTCTCACTTGCTTCACTAACACTTGTTTCTCCCACTATAGCCTCACTGGCGCAGTGAGAAAATATGTGTAAGTAACATGTATCCCACATCCTTCTGTCAGTCTGTTCTCTATCCATAATTCTCCCTTTTTGTCTGGCAAAATTTGATTGCTAATGTTTTCGTTTCTTATGTACTTTACTTTTTTAAATTGCTTTTCTTCCTTGGGTCTCTTCTTCCCTCTATTTTTGCATGTGAATGTTTCAAGTTGAGTCTGTGTAGAATAGACACTATGCATGTTTATGTATTTTCCTGAGTTTCTGTGTAAGTGTGTAGCATTGTGCCATGTATTTTGAACGAATCTAAATGCATGGTTTGTAAAGGATCGTATTTCATTAACACGTAAGTTTCCAACAGAGAGCGCATGAAAATTCATTTCCCGTATTGATCAAACATAAATCTCGAAACCTCGCGCGAAATCCAGGTTTTCGGTTTAGATATAAAAGCTGCTGTTCAACAACAGAAATTCGTTCGCAACACGACGACCATCACCTGTCACCTTCATCGCCAATGCATCATCCATTTCATCAAACACCAACTCTCTCACATATTTGCCCTCCTGTATATCTATATCTAGCTAACTATATCTATATCTATCTATCTATCTAGCTATCTATCTATATATGTATATATGTATATATATATGTATATATGTATGTATGTATATATATATATATATATATATATATATATATATATATATATATATATATATATATATTATACAGTCCTCATTCTCAGCCTCAAGACCCATTGCATTATAAGATCGCCATCACAACCTTTAGTGCATTCAATCGACGTCCTTGTACTCTGCAGTCCCTGGCGGCTAAGGACAAGAGGTGATCAGAGGTTGTCGCGGAGGTGAACATCAAGCGCCGAGGCCTTTCTAGCTTAGGTGGTTCGGGCCAGAGGGGTGGGGGAAGTCAAACTTGCGATGACGCTTTTAGCTATTTTGGGATTTTGTTTTCGTTTTTGCGATTTGTCTATCAAGAATTTTGGATTATTATTTTTCCAGTGTTTAGTGACGTATATTTACGATATCCTTAGTATCTTTTTTTTAAGAGCATGCATTATATAGACCTTTAATAACATCCCTTCATATCATTTCGGATAAATGGAATCCATAATCCATACCTCAGGGAGCGGTCATCCGAACACTAAGCAATTCACAATCCTCGCCAGCGACAAGCCCGCGCCGCCATCGCCTCACATCCAACAATCCTCCTTCGCCGCAGCCTAAAAGTTTCCCCCTTTTCCCCCACAGAGCTTGAGCGGCAGCAACCACGCCATCATACAGTCCCTGATCTACGTCCTGGGCGGGCGTCCTGAGGTCCCTGCCCCTTGCTGCGTCCCTGAGAAGCTCGACGCCATCTCCCTCCTGTTCCAAGTAGGCGACGACGGATCCAAGTACCTCCTCAAGAACTACCCGAAGATGTCCGTCTCCTCCTGCAGCTGCCAGTGAACGCGCCGAGACGGAAGCCAAGACGACGGTCTTCGGGATTTTTTTTTTTTTTTTTTTTTTCCTTTGGGAAATTCTGAAAGAGAAAATGCAAATATAATGATGAGGTCTTTTGAGGTGTATGTTCTATTATTTTTTCTATGTCTTAGCAGTCTGATCTGAAGCTCTGGTAAGGTCGTGTTGGGTCCCCACGGATTCGTCATCATGAGGTTCTAGCACATGGGATTTCGAAAGGTTTCTGGCAGGAAGTGGTCGAGGGTTCTAAGCACCTCAGTGTTATCCCCTCAATCCTTAGGCTTTCCTTGGATTCGTTGGCGGAGAAAAGAACGCGATCTCGGTGTCCTTCCGTCAAAAGGAAAGGAAACGAACTTAAAGCTTTGTTGAGAGAAAAGGAAAAGAGGAATTTAAAAAACCTCTTTTCATCAACCGCTCTTTTTCTTTCGCTGTCTATCCTTTCTAGCTGTTTTGAATTGACAGCGTTTTGGAAGCTTTGAAATTATAATGTTATTCGGACAATGTGTAGTGGCGACAAGCGGCGTTACAGAATGTCTAATATTACTTTTGGATTATTCTGACACTTCTTTTCATTTTGAAGGGGTTAGGAGGGAGGCAGAAGCAAGAGAAGGTCGATAAAAGGAGAAAGAAAAAGAGAATAAAAAAAAAAGAGTGATGATATTTTCGTCTCCTTCTAAAGGCTAAAGTTCCAGTTCTATTTTTTTTCTTTTCATTTCGATATTCTTATTACATACTTGTACTATTTTCTCAAAAGGCATAAAGACTACCGCCAAAAAGACATTTTTTTTTTCTCTCTCTCTCTCTCTCAACACGAAAATCAACAAAGAAATAAAAATACTTGTCCGTGAGAAAGCTTTAATGAAGCCAATTCAGTTTTGCGGCTTATTCAATCATAATTTAATTCCGGGCGCGCGCTTCTAAATCATGTTTTGTTGTGCGAGTTTTTTTTTCTCTCTCTCTTTTATATATATCATTCGCTAGATTTGGTTAACATGACTACAGTTTATGTCGAAATGACCTGTAATTTTCTGCACTGGTGTTATGAAAATTGGAGACGAGGAATATTGGCATGAGAATACTAAAATTAATGGAGGATAAAATATACACAAGCTTATGATATACGTACACGCATACGCACACGCAAACGCACACGCACACGCAAACGCGCACGCACACACACACGCACACACACACGCACACGCACACGCACACACACACACACACACACACACACACACACACATACACACACACACACACACACACACACACACACACACACACACACACACACACACACACACACACACACTCACTCTCTCTCTCTCTCTCTCTCTCATACAGCTATTACGGGATTGTTTTAGGAGAATATTATTAGCATCTTATTTCCAAGTGAAATTATATAATTATATTATTCGATGCCAAGATAATAGACTGGAACCCTAAAGAATTTTTTAAACCGTATCTCTGCCTCCCTTCCTCTCCCCTTAGTCTAAACTGAACGCTCTCTCTCTATTTCTCCGTCACCTTTTCCCTTCCTCTCCCTCTCCACCCTCGTTTTCTTTTTCTTATGCGCCATTTTTATCTTATTTCATTATCTAATCCCTTGCAGAAGGGTTTCTGTGTTGTCTCTCTCTCTCTCTCTCCCTTTCTTCCTTTCTTCTTTTCTTCTTCTTCCTTTTTCTTTCTCTTTCCCTACACTTCTTATTTTCCCTCCTTTTTTCCCCTCTTTTCTTTCGCTTATCACTCAGGCATTTTTTCCTTCTTTCTTTTCGTATTCCTTGCAGACCCCCTCTCTTTAATTTTTTGTGCCCTTCTTCCCTTTTTCTGTCTCATCTTATCACATTTCTCCTTACTGCCTTTTTCCTCACCTTATCCCATCCCCCTCTCTCTATCACCTTTTCATTACCCCCCTCTGGTCTTTCTATTCCGTTTCCTCTTTCTATTGATCCTTCCCGCATCTTTTTATTCCCTCCTTCCCTCTTTCTCTTCCCCTTTCTGTCATCGCATTATATTTCCTTCCTTTCCACTGCCCTCCCCTTTTTCTTTTCCCACTCTTTTCATTCTCACTCTTTAATCACTCTCCCTTTTTTCCACTCTTTACATCACGCTTTATTTTATCATCCTTTCCATCCTCCCCTTTTCCCACTCTTTTCTTTCTCACTCTTTAGTCACCCCTCCCTTTTTCCCATTCTTTCCTCCCACCCCTCCTTTTTCCCACTCTTTACATCATCCCTCCTTTCTCCCATTCTTTCCATCATCCCTTCTTTTACCACTTTTTCTATCCTCC